CTATAATAGGTAGGTAGTGACTAGGTACCTATAATAAATTCCAAATTAATCATATCACAATATCCATTAGGTACTATAAACGCGCTATATATAATTCGATCTTTAAATGTTTATAAAAAAAATTGTGCCTATGTATTTTTAATATTTTTCAATTGCTATTGTAACAATATATCAGGATCCTTATATTAAATTTTTACACTTTTTGGCCCAACAGATAAAACTTAATTGATATTTATAGAAAAAAAAACTAAAAAAATTGAAAATTGAAAATGTCCGTTAACAGCTCAAAAAGAGTCAAAATATTTTCAAAAGTGTATGGTGTATAGGAAATGCTAATTTAAACATTCAGTGAAATTTTCATGTATCTACAGTTATTCGTTTTTGAATTACAACAAAATAAGGAAATCGCTACATGAGAAATCGAGTGAATATCCAATGTTGTAAAAATTTGCTTATAAAAAAAAATTGTGACAAAGGATTTTTAATATTTTTCATCTGCCTTTGAAACAATATACTAGGAGCCTTCTATTAAGTTTTCAATTTTTCGCAACCAACAAATAAAATTTTATTGATATTTTTAGAAAAAAAACTAAAAAAAGATGGAAAATGAAAATGTCGCTAAACAGTTCAAAATAAATCAAAATATTTTGAAAATTATATCGTGTATAGAAAATGCAAATATAAACAACCAGTGAAAATTTCATGTATATACGTTAATTTATTTTAGAGTTACACCAAAAATCAAAATCGATTTTTTGGAAAACCGATTTTGCGTAAAAATTCCCGTTTTTCCTTAATTTTTATGTTGTTTTTTCCGGTGCTTGTGAAAACTACTAGGAAATTTTTACTTTTGACCCCCCAAAGTACCAACTAAATTCACTTTCCTATCAGAAAAGATACTGTTGAAGTAAATCCAAGCACTTTTACTGTCCTAAAACGTGATGACAGACACAAAAAAAAAAAAACACACATCATTGTAAAATCAATACATTCATCGTTTCACTCAGAATCTAAAATAGATTAACTTTTTTTAAACTGAGTTAAGTTAATATTTTTAGATCTGAGCGGAGCGATGAATGTATTGGTTTTACAATGATGTATGTTTTTATATTTTTTTTATATTTTTGTGTCTGTCATCACGTTTTAGGACAGTAAAAGTGCTTGGATTTTCTTCATCAGTAGCTTTTCTGATAGGAAAGTGAATCTAGTTGGTACTTTGGGGGGGGGGGGTCAAAAGTATAAATTTCCCAATAGTTTTCACAAGCGCCGGGAAAAACAACATAAAAATTAAGGAAAAACGGGAATTTTTACGCAAAATTGGTTTTCCAAAAAATCGATTTTGGTTATTGGTGTAACTCTAAAACAAATGAACGTATATACATGAAATTTTCACTGGTTGTTTATAATTGCATTTTCTATACACGATAACATTTTCAAAATATTTTGATTTATTTTGAACTGTTTAGGGACATTTTCATTTTTCATTTTTTTTTAGTTTTTTTTCTAAAAATATCAATAAAATTTTATTTGTTGGTTGAGGAAAGCTTGAAAATTTAATAGAAGGCTCCTAATATGTTGTTTCAAAGGCAGATCAAAAATATTAAAAATCCTTAGTCACAATTTTTTTTATAAGCATTTAAAGTTCAAAAATTGACAAAATATGGAAAAATCACGAAAATTAGCAAATTATTTTGAGTTAAGAATTCGTAAAAATTTTTCTTTTTAAATCTAAGATTTGAAAATGAAACACAAGATTCCTTATAAGATTATCTACCTTTATCAATAAAAAAATCTCTACCGGACAGTCAAGTTAAATTTTTATGAGCGTTTGAAATTCAAATTTTTACAACATTGGATATTCACTCGATTACTCATGTAGCGATTTCTTTATTTTGTTGCAATTCAAAAACGAACAACTGTAGATACATGAAAATTTCACTGAATGTTTAAATTAGCATTTTCTATACACCATACAATTTTGAAAATATTTTGACTCTTTTTGAGCTGTTTATGGACATTTACAGCTTTCAATTTTTTTAGTTTTTTTTTCTATAAATATCAATAAAGTTTTATCTGTTGGGCCAAAAAGTGTAAAAATTTAATACAAGGCTCCTGATATATTGTTACAATATCAGTTGAAAAATATTAAAAATACATAGGCACGATTTTTTTTTATAAGCATTTCAAGTTGGAATTTTGACAAAATTTATCAAAATATCGAAAATTATCAATCGTTTGAATTAAAAAATTATAAAATGTTCAGTTTTTATAACTAAGAGTTGAAAATTTAAAACAAAGATTCTCTTAAATAATTCATACTGTAACCAAAAAATCTAAAAAATATATAAACACACTTATTTTTTACAGACATTTTAATTTCAAATTTAGACAAAATTTCATATTTAAACCAAGAATTACGATTTTAGTTATTTTGTTGTGATTGAATAATATTATTCGTGGGTACTTGAAACTTCCAAAGTGTACTATTATATATCTATGATAGTATCACGGTTTTTGTTGATGTATAACGCGTTATAAGTATCTAATGGATATTGTGATATGATTAGTTTGGAATTTATTATAGGTACCTATTATAGGCACGATTTAAGATAGTACTATCTTAAATCGTGATTATAGGTCAATTTTTTGTTTAATACCATAGATATGTATATAATATGTCTTATACATAGACTGACATAGGTACCGTCACCGCTCAGAATCGTTTTTCTTATACAATGATATTATATCATTGAGATTGAATTCAAATTTAATATCATCCATTATACAGTGACCCACTTGTAACCTACTGTACAGCAGAGCGACACCCACTTGCCCACCTTTTTTTCTATATGAACTTTTAACTTATCGAGTTAAATTTATAATTTGTTAACTGCTAACTTTTAACTAATCGATCTTGTATCCTTTTAACTTAATTTAACTTGAGTTAATTATTTTCATTAACTTGCCCACCTTTGAAAATAACTATAGACTCTTGAGAAGTTTACCAAATATTAGCATTTTCCATACATGGTAAAATTTTTAAACTATTTTAATTCTTTTTGAGCTGTTTTAAAGCATGAACATTTTTTCAAATGTTGTAAATTATTTTGAAGTTAGAAATTCATAAAAGTTTTTTTTTCATAGCTAACATAAGACATTTTAATAGAAAGTTTTCAATAAGTTTTTGTAAGTCTATCAAACAGAAAAAGTTCATAGGAAAGTCATGGCATTTATAGCCGTGAGGTGTAAGATATTTTCGATCTTTGTTAATTTAAAAAAAAAAAAAAATAAAATTATTTATACAAATTACAATTATATTTCTCCTCTCAGAATATTTTTTCGTATACAATGATTTATTAATGTAATTCAATATTCAAATACAACACATCCATTACAATGACATATGCATACTGCAGAGCAGTACCCGCTGTCCACCTTTTTTATATTCTATTAGGTACCTACCTACCTACTATATTTACTGACTTATTAATTTATCAATATTACTATACGAAGTTTAAATATATGACGTTTTTGTTATTAATTTATTTTCTTATGTCTTATACATACTGTTGTCAGTACAAGGTACTATGTTTTTAAGTCTATTTGCGCGTTGCCCTGTTATACCTAGGTAATTATTATAATACATATACTATGCAACTGCCAACTGACGATAATGACATTTTAGGCCACACAATTGTACTCTGCTCTGGGCCCCGCAAATCGTCAGGATGGCCTTGCACACAAGTCAGCAGTTGAGTTGGCATAATTTCTGAAAGGGATTGATCAAAAAAATAAAACAACATAGCTAAATGGGAGTGGAAAATTGGAAAATACCCTACCCACTACTCAACAATAAGGAACAATAAATATAATTTGAATTGATTCAAAATTCACATCAAACAAAATATGGACGAGAATCCACTCCAAAGCCAACGGTAGGGGTGGGGTACCTGACCAACAAGCCACCTCCTTGTAAACGCTTCTGCAAGCCAGTAAATGATATAAAAAAAAAAGAAAAATATTGACTAGATTATTAGAACAAACAATTTATTGTACCCTGTACATAATGACTGAAGTCATAAAACAAAAGAGAATTATGTTACTAAGTAGTAAATATAGATGAAAAATGTTCAATTATAAATTATATCAATATTAAATTATGAAACTACTAAATAATAAACTTTAAAATTAAACAATAATAAAAATAACTATAAATCACCTCAATAATAAAATAGGTCAATGGTACATTGATCTTTACAGTAACTTATAATATATATTATATACATAGAATTAAACGTAAAATTAAACGTAAAATATATACAAGTAATTATATTTGAATAATGGTAAATAACTTAACATTATAAAGCTGTTTTTTTTTTATAAAGATTAAGATAAGTTTAATCAATATTTATTTTAACAATACACTTGTCTAGTTTATTATTATTTTCTATATTATAAATTGTTTATAAAGCAATAAAATATTAAAAAGACCGGATTGCTTACCTATTGTATTAATTTGAGTCAACGTAGATGATATTATACATTAAACATGGGTTTTTATTTGTGGTTGATGATGTACCTACGTTATTCCAAGTGAACTAGTGAGAATTATAAAAAAATGTCTACAGTATTTAAAAAAAAAAAACATAAATTTACAATTACATGAAACATCCCTTTTTAAAATTTAAAATTAAAATTGTTTTCATTTAACACAGTATACCTTTGTGTACTCTATAATTATATAATCAGAAATGCTATCTTTAGATTCATGAATTTCTTTAAATAATCAAATCATAACCACTTGTGAATTTTAAATAAAATGTTAGTCATAAGAAAATTATACTTACAGAATAAGTAAAAACTTTAATTTAAAAATACATTGTTAAGTTGACTTAGTGAAGTTAATTAACTTCTAGTAAATATAAAAACAATTTCTCAACAATTTAGACTTTAGATTTTACATAGGAACACAAATTGAATCAGTCATATGAATCTGATAGTTAAGGTTTAGTGGATGTAGCAGCCAACATTTGACTTATCATTTCCCGAACTCTTTGTTGTTCTTGTAGTTGTTTGCGCAAATCAATAATATCTTTATCCTTTTCTAAGCCAATATTTTCTAGATTTCTAATAAATGATATTTTGTTATTGATTTCCTATTAAAAATATTAAAATATAAAACATGTTCAATCAATAATAATATTATATAGATATCATGCTAAAATATAAGTTTTATTTTAATATTTTAATGCCTGCCTAAAGTAGTGGACAAAATAGTTTATTAAGCAACTTACCTCAGATTTTTCATTTATAATACTTTGTTTTTCTGTTAATTGTTGTTCCAATTTTGAAATTTGAATTTTATTTTCTAGAATAACAGAAATAGAAAAGTATACAATTATATATTTATTTAATCAGTGTTGTAACTTGTAAAGAACACTTTTCTCCTAAAACCATTAAATGCTCATAATTTCCTCGTTGAAAAGAAACAAGATCACATTACATTTAAAATTACATCTCTTACTCGTGACTACAATACATTTTCCGAATTAAGAGGTCTATTATTCCCGTAATGCCGTATAACTGTATAGGATATCAAGTACTAACTACTAAGTAGATATTGTAACTGATATTATCAACAGTTATCTAATAATACAAAAGGAAATAATATTGTTATTGAACATCTGCTTTTAGAAAAGATCTTGTTTTACAAACCTTTGGGCTTCAGCTAACACAGAATAATAAATACAACTTATAAAACTATTATTCAAATATTGAAGTAGGCAATAATATTTATAGAAAATACTTCATGCTGAAAGTATTTAAAAAGTTGTTCAATATTTTTACTCAAATACTTCACAACACTGTATATTTTAAACACAAGCAAATACAAAAATGTATGAATTCACATATTATTAATAATATAAATATATAATTTTTATTTTACCAGTTTTTTCATTTTTTAATTGGTCCAGTAAATCAGCTTTCATTTTATTGCTTTCTAAATGTAGCTCTTCTAATTGTTTTTCAAGGTTTTTTATTGAAGAATTCTGCTCTTCAATAATTTGACGTTTTGATTCATAATTTCGAGATAGCTAAGGTAATATAATATATTAGTATTTATTGAATATAATTATTTATTATTTTAATTTGCATAAAATGAAATAATTACTTTTGCAAAGTTATTACTAGTCGTAGTAAATTGTTCAGTAATATTATTTAATTTTCTTTTTAGATCTTTGTTTTCTACTGTTAACTCTTCAATTTCTTGATGAACATCTAATATCATTTGATTCAGTTGCACTGATTCACTATTTAAACAAACTAATTTATAATTTAACCGTGTTATTTCTTCAGAAGCATTATCAAGACTTTGTTTTAACCACACTTCAGCTTGTTTTAATGTATTCATTTTGTACTGATATAATGTAATAACATTACTTGTTTTTATATTAAGAATCTAAAAGTGAAAACATTTTTAAATTGATAAACTAATACTGAAAAAATAGAACCATACAAATAATTTTAATATAAAAATATAATATTTTTTTTAATTGTTTACTTCATTAGAATTGAATATATTTTCTAATTTATCAATGAACACTTTTAATTGTTCTTCTTGAGCAAATGAATATAATGGCTTTATTTCAGTCTCATCTGAATTTATAGTTGTCGCATTTTTTACTTTAGCTGAAGATAATTGATCAATTTCTTCCAAGCAATCAGATAACATTAAAGTACTAAATTTAAATATAAATATAAATAAAATAAAAATAAATATTATATTTAATCAAAAATTATAAATTACCTTTGTTGTGAAAATTTAGTTATGAGATCTAATACTTTTTGTTTCATATTTTTTGAACCTTTATAAATTATAAATGCAAGTACATGATATACATGTTTCTGATTCAATATTTCAGAATATAAAGACATCCACGTAGGATTTTTAGCCAGTAATTCAGATAGAAAACACAGCGCTTCAATGTATACATTTGTGATATTTTGTAAATTATTCAAATTGTTAATATCAACCAATATCAGAGAATGAAATAAAGACTGAAGAGACTGAAAAAGAAAAGTTAATATTAAATTATTTAAAAAAAGAATAAAAAAATATTTCTTACAGAAATATGAAGTTTTTCTTCCATTATTTTATATAGATTTTTCATCTTCAACATTTCTTGGAGAAGTCTCAAGCATATTGCATATTTATTCCATGTACATGTAATTGAATCATTTTCTACATTTGTATTTGGTTCGAATAAAACAATTAGCAATACCTTAAATATATAATTATTATTAATACATTTTAAGTAGATAACTTTTAAACTACGATATCTCATCATTAAATCTTTAATAATTGCATAGAGTGAAAATAACATTTCATTTACAACATTCATTAGATATTAATATAGTAAGATAAAATATATATTTTCAATAGATTTTTATTAAAATTAAAATTTCATTACAAATTTAAACTTACATTTAAACTCTTTTCCAGATTTTCATGAATATCACATTTAAGGGATTGATCCATGCAACTTTCATAACTTCTCACATTAATAATTATTGTTTGTAAAATTGACATTGCCTGTTTTTGAAGATTTGAAAATTGAGTCCAATGCAAAATGTACATTATAATTTTAGGATATAATATTATTAAATCTTCATTTTTGAATTGAATAACATGATGAACAAATTGTAAAACTAAGTCTACACTTTGTAATGTAATCTGATAATTGTTTTGAGACTTCTCAATGTGTTTAAAATTGTTTGTAGATTCCAATATTTTAATTAAATTTGTTTTGTAGCTAAAAAATTAACAAATGTAAGTTAGAAAATTGTATACCTATACATCAACATTTATATTATAAAATAAATATACCCATTATATTCTAAAACAGAATTTTTCCAACGTGAATGTGCACTTATATCAATAAAAAAGTCTACTGCGTGGCGTAGAACAAACACATTTTTTAGTTTAAGGCCTTCTTCCAAAACAACAAATGTTACATCAATTAAATTGTTAACATCGACATCGGGTATCTGACCAGATACTTGTTCTAAAACTAATAATAATTTATACACTTGAACTTTGATGAATATATCATCAGATTGTAATTTTAAAAGTAGACGCATGAAGGATTTCGAATGTGTACATTTCACAAGAGTAAACATGGCAAATTTGTTTTTACAACACACATTTACTAAAACTCCTAGACTAAATGATATAAGATCTTTGTCTTCAGTTGAAATCCATTTTACCAACAGACTTATTAGTTCAGATGAATGGCCTTCCTGCCATTGTATTTTCATTCTATATGTCAATTCCTAAAAATTCATAATGTTTATTTTTTGACCCCAAGTATACTTATAGCTAAATGGGGCTCAGAGGTTATAGTATTAAAAAGTTAATTTTTAGTAATTTAATATGTACTAAAGATGTGTTAAATTTGCAAAATAAAATAAATTTTTGTTTTTAGTTTGTGTTTACTTTTAATATTGGGTAGAAGTGAAATACCTATTTATATTGCTTCAATATTAACATCTCAGTTCTATAAATACCAATCAATTCAAACATTTTTGATGAGTGAATGAAAAAAAAGAACTGAACTCAATTTGATCCATTCTTATATGGGAATATATCTAAAAATAGCATATACAACTCTAAATAATAAAAATAAAAATTGTATAAGATATCTGAGATTTGTGAAACAACAAATTTTTGTCTTACCTGGGATGTTCTAAGATATATTTTTTTTTTTTTTATTATTATTTATAAGGTATATACAATCTGTTCTTTTAGGAACAATAAGAATAGGTGATATTTTAAAAAAAGTTTATAACATGAAAACGTGATGGGAGGAGTCACCCAGTGGTTACACTACCCTTACTTGATATTTTTTTTTTCTTTTTTTTCTTTAATGTTTGCTCATTATTGTGTGTTACTCATTGAGAAGATCTCGACACCATTTTCTTCTGAGCCTCCTAGGAGGGTTCCCAGGAATTGTGAATGTGGCAAGGTTTGAAATGAGGGGGTTGGTATGAGAAGGGAGTTTTGAGTGGAAACGTTTGTAAAAGGTAACTGTTCTAAGATATACAAAAAAAAATATGCAAAGAACTTCTGAGCCCTGCTAATTAGTTATAACCAAATTTAATGACTCGACTTTAATTTACCTGAAGTAGTTTGAGTATTTTAATTTTTTTATCCAATGATAATTCATCTTTTAGTAATTTTGTTAGAATTAGTGTAAATTCATTATTGTTTAGTATTGTGTTTTGAAAAAATCCTTGTTTTACAATAGATTGCAATAAATTAACAGCAGCCCACATAATCTCAGAATCGTCATTAATATTCCTCATCAGTTCATATAAGTTAATACAAAACTCATGTCTTAATGTATCTTTAGAATTAAAAACAAATTCTTGTTGCCCAAGTATCTGAAAATAAATTATAAACAATAATTATTAATTTATATTTACCTTAATCATAATATTATACATTTCATATTAAATAATTCAAAATACAAATAATAATTACTAATAATATATGAAGGGTTACATGGAAAAACGATAATAGTCAATATTCCTAAAATGTTCAGTATTGCAGTTTTAAAGTGGGACTCTGGCCTTTTTTCCCGTTATGGTAATACTTAAACCTGTATTATATCATTGATCGTGATCTTTTTTCCATACCTCGATTCACGTGATGATTCGTTATGAAATTAACCAAAAGGTACTATAATTATTTGATTTTTTATTTCTTTTGACTATGATAGTTTTTCCCCATAACAATTCATATATTATACTATTATGTAAATAATATAAGTTTTATATTGGTTATTGTTACTAATTTTTTAGAAAAACAGAATGTACTTTTTGAAGTTGGAACTATATTTTTAAAATATAAATCCATAAATTAAAATTAAATGAAATTTATTTATTATAAATGATAAGTAAAATGATGTAAAATGTATGTTACCTAGTATAAGTTAAACAAATTAATAATAGATGACTAATATTAGGCAATTCTTTTAAAAATTATAGATACATTTTTTTTTATCATAGTTCCTACATTAATATTACCACACTAATCAAGTTTTAACTATTACCATGCCAATTAGTCACATAGACAAGGCTTAATTTATTCATGTCACATTGCAGAAAAATTTAATTTTTATTACATACTTGTAATGAACAGAGAACTCCATTATAAGATGATTCATCATGGCAATATGAATATTGTTTGGCAGCTACAACAAAATTCTTTAAATGGTTATGAAATGAAGGTGGCATTAAATGGTCCATAGTTGATGGATGCTAACTTAAAAACCTAAAAAATTAGAATCTGATACAAAATCATAATTTACCTATACTCTTTTTCACGAGAGAAAGGTAGCGGCGGCCGACCAAAACGGGTCCGCCGCCGCGCATCCCCCACCAACTATCAGTGGTAAGCGTGATCACGTGGTCGTTCACGCACCAATCGAATCATTTTACATGCGCGAAACGGTACCGTTCTCTCGTGAAATAGAGTATAACTACAAATGATTATTTGAGAAGCTAAAAAATACTTAACAAACTCTTACTTAATGAATATTTAAAGAAAAACTAAAAAATAGTAGGAAAATTATAGTTTAGAACTTTAAATTTGAAATCCATAAATTCAAATTAACTGAAATTATCAATTAACGAAGTATACCTATAAGTTTATTATGTCCAATAGAACGAAATATGTCAATAAAATTAATTAATAAATTGGATATTAATACTTGTGAAAGTGATACAAAATACAAATTTAGAATGAATTTACAATATTTATTGTTAATTTAAATATTCTTAACTACTTCTTTATCTATGGAATTCAATTACATTTAATTAAACAATAATAATTCATAATGAATGTTCAGTCAGTGGTGTTTAGTGTTTACTAGTTTACTGTTGACGGTTTTATCTATATTATAGTATTTTATTATTCTCTAATCAGTATAGACCTTTTTTAGTTTTGTTTATTTTCCGTTAAATTCTGATAAAAACAAAAAACAGGAAAACATCGTTTTAAATCACTCTCATGGAAGAGAAATAGGACTATTGAAACCACGGTTTAAAGTTTAAACAGTTTAGATAGAATGGTTAAGCGACGAGGTCTAATATTTCGGCGGTATCAAAAATATGAAAAGCTCACTGCCCCGTAACGCGATCTACTAAATTACCACGATATTCTTATTTCTTGATATTCTTTAAATTTATTAAATAATAATAATTAATAATACTATATTATAATTTATAATTATTAATTATTATTATATTATAGTACCTACTTCATAATACTTTATGATTTAAAACGTAGAAGAACTTTACAATGTATTTTTTTTTTTAACAAATGTCAATTTTATTTTGGAATTTAATAGCTTTCCAATCTAATACCAGCTGTAAGAAGTATTAACTAATTTTACAAAGAAAAATAAAAACCAGTTGTTAAATAAACCGATTTTTGACGTGATAACGTCTTATAAATTGATGGAGCCGGCTGCACGCACGAAAAAACATGCCGTTACCTCGCTGTGAGGCGTTCCCGGGTTCCATTCGCGTAGGCTACCCAACATCGGTCGTCACGCGCGTAGAGGCCCCCGTCGGGCGGAGTGGGGGGACCCATTAAACGAGTAATTATTTTTGACGAAGCATAACTTGGCCGGTATTCGACTTAGAGACCCCGGACCAATGGGCATCTCCATTTTTTAGGCCCCAGATGAATTTTCAACATTAGGGAACCAAAGCCCCCACCCCCCCCCACATTTTGAGTTGAGTGTAACTCGGCCGGAATTCAAGTTAAAGACCTCGGACCAAGGGGGAACCCTTTCTTATTATGAAGACTACCGTTTTCCGCTTTAGGGAACGGGGGCACCTCCTCCCCCCCTTTTTGGATTTTGCTTTTTTGATGGATTTTGGTCCGGGAGAGTACCAACACCCACCTCGCCAAGGGGAAACTCGGGGTTTTGAGTTTTTGATAGGATTTATTGGGATTTTCTTAATATTGTTTTTATTGATAAGGAAAGTGATAAGAATTTTATTTTCAGAATAATTTTTGCCCCTTAAATTTATAAATTCCATTGTGATTTCTATTTACCTTCTTCTCTATATACATACAAATCTATTAAACAAATGAAATTAAAATTTACTTTTGAAAAAAAAAAAAATTGACAAAGTGTCTTCACTGGAAGGCTTCTTAAATCCGTCCTTTCCTCAAGACACTTATTCAATTATCTATTTTACTTATTGTTCATTTTATTGTAACATGTAACAGATTGTAAATAAAAATTAGAAAAAAGGTGGGTAAGTGGAGGATGTCGCTCTGCTGTACTGTAGGTTACAAGTGGGTCACTGTATAATGGATGGTATTAAATTTGAATGCAATGATATAATATCATTGTATAAGAAAAACGATTCTGAGCGGAGACGGTATGTCAGTCTAGGTATAAGACATATTATATACTTTTCTATGGTATTAAATTATATGGAATTTATGAATAAATTTCTTAAAATATGCACATTCTTATCATGAGCATAATTCTTATTCCTTATACTATGGTAGATTGTATGGATAGGCCATAATATTTTGATTTTTCAGTTTCATATATTCCCGAATAATATTTTTAAATTACAACAAAAACAAAGATTGTTAATATTGATTTTAATATGTAATTTCGTCCAAATTTGAATTTAAAATGTCTGTAAAAAATAACTGTGTTAATATATTTTTTAGATTCTTTGGTTACAGTATGAACTATTTATGAGAACCTTTGTTCTAAAATAAAAAAAAAAATGCTACCATTCCTTCAGTATTTTCTTAACACGTTGTCACGTTCAACTATCGTCAGTAAACCGACTTTACAGACAACCGATTTTTTTAATTTCAATTTTTCTATTCTAAACCAAAACAGATTACCAAAAGCAATAATAGGTAAATCAAAGTATAAATATAGTTTGTAATGTTTGTATGAAAACATAATTTTATAATTTGTAATTGTTAATATCTTACTATATATAATACACTATAAACCAAAAGTTTATATTTCCTAAGATGATACTATTTTGTATGGCTATTTTTTTTTTATAATGCTACATTCTGTAGTATATTTACAGTCTTACAGAATAGAATTATATTTATTTTCTATTCTGTGGTATGGCTAAATAGTAAATAGTAAAATGCCGTCTGGAATTATTGTTTTTTTCGCCAACATTTAGTGATAGGCCATGTTGGCACTGGAAGCGCTAGTATCCAGTGAGTAAAAATAATTATTTGATAAGAAACTTTTCCGCCTTAATGTACCCTGGGAATCATGGGATTGTATGAATCGTCGTTCAACCATTCTATCTTAAACCGTGATTGAAACTTTAGATCATATTATTATCATAGAGTATGGATCATATACTATACATAATATACCATATACTATATACTATCAAACTATGGATCATGACAAATTGCTTAAAAGAAACAAAGTGTGATGAACAAAATAATTAAATGGGGAAGGACTATTAAAATATCAATTATTATTATTTTAAAAATATTATTATTATTATTTATATACTATTCTAAATAATTCCTCACCAAGTAATAATACATTTTTGAAATACAATAAGTTTACTTAAATTCAATAAACTTAGCATTTATGCATGATATCACATCTTTTATCTTTATATAGTGCTTAAAGATCTTATATTTTTTTTACTTGGCCATTTTTAAACGTAGTTTACGAAAGGTTTTTGTTGAGATATCACTAATTTTTATCATCAATGCAAATAACGATAATGTCTCTATATTATATATATTTAGTATATTGTATAAAGTACGGACAACAATATTGTTTGTGTTAATACTGAGTAAATATTGAGTATCTAAACAATGATCTAGGTATAAAAAGTAAAAACGGTAATATTGTTTATAGTACGGTAATTTTGTCATATTTTCCCCGATGACTATAAATTTTTTTTTTATAGATAACAAACGTTGGTGACGACGACGACCACGACGGCGGCTACCGTGATTCTAAATTTAATATAAATTTCTATTAAATAGTTCACACTTTTTAATTTATAACTTAATTTCTAAAAGTATGATTTTTACAAAAGCACATTCTACACAATATTTTTGATGTTTTGGAGTTTACTAGGAGTTAATTGTTATGTTAAAAAATTAGTTATATCGCTGAACAAATTAACCCGTATTTTACACAGTTTAAATGGGCAATCCTCCTTCGATATAAATACATATATAATATACACACAAGGTCGTACAGTTATTTTTTTTTTACTTAGCTTTTACTTATATTCTTATAATATTATTGATTGCTATTGAATAAATTATATTAATTATTTATTTATTTATTCAAAATATTCCTTTTATGGAAGATATAATTTAAATAATATAAAATATAATGTATACCTATAATATAATAAATAATATTTTAATATACTATATTGAATAAATAATGGGAAAAATGAACTTTACCAACCCTCTCACGATTTTCAATTTAATTTTTTTCTAACGACTTGTTTTTTATGCTTAAACGATGGTGTGAATTTTTTTTACCGGAAACTATTATTTTAGAAGTTATAATAGCCTTCCAAAGTTTGTGATTTTACGTTTATGTGCAGATGTGCTCAACGATACTACTTGATTGCCACGCGCAGCGCCTATAATAATTTTTATTTTTTTTTCATATAGGTAATCATTAGCCTGTCATCTACTTGAAGGTAATTGTTTTTTAAAAAAATTGCTTAATCTCGAGGGCTACCCAAGGTGTTTTTACACAACAAATCAGGGGATATTTTCGATTTGTTGTCCGAGCGAAGCGCAGCGAGCGAGTGGCAACGCAGAGATCACTTTTTTAGTTTTTTTGCAACAGTTCTGAGTTCAGCCCATGAAAAATGTATCATAATGAGTATTTATGGGTTATAATAATATAAACTGAAAACTTCAATGAGCGCAAATAGACAAATTATTTTGGGGGGGACTAAAGCCCCTCCAATAATATTTTCTAAAAATTATATATGCTCAGTACTAATTATTGACTTTTGAACTTTGGGGATTTGGCAGAAATATGGGGGGGTCTAAGTACGATATATTTGCTGTACGAACAAAAAATAGTTTTCTACATTTACAACGTATAGGTAAATCAGTAAATGTTAAATGGTCACACACAGTGGCGTGGTGAATGGGGTTTTATGACGTCTAGGCGTCATGGTGAATTTTTTTTTTGGGGTGGAGTGGTTGGGTACATTATGGTAACCAATAACATACAACAAAAATTAAAATATTTACAGTTCCATAATAATTATATGTATTATATATTATATTAAGGGGATAAAGAAGGGGTAGGTACTGAAATATATGCTGGGCATCAAGGTTTATAAATGTTCACCACGCCACTGGTCACACATATTGGTGTCCGCTATGTTTGTTAAGTTATTTACATTGAATACATCACCTACATCACGTCATCACGACCACGACTTAATAAATTAAAATCAAAATGATGATGTCACTGGAACTCTTTCAAGTGTTTTGGATCCACCAAAAATTGATTTTTCTATTTTTTATATCTCAACAATAGTTGAATCAGTAAATCAGATACAAAACGTCAAAACAAACAATTTCAGATGAACTTTTTACATTTAAAGTTCAAGATTTAAGTACAACTTGTGGTGAAACTGTGAAAGTGCTGTGCATTGTGCAGCCTGTTATTAGTTTTCCTGATACAGAGATTTTTGAAAACATAGATGTTTTAAAGGCAGTTGTTACTTGGTAACGTAATTAGTAAGTATCCTTGGAATTTGGAATATTATTCAATTACGCTAAATGCTGTTTTTTGTTATTATTGTCGACTGTCGTCATTTTCCTTCTCATCTAACTGTTTCTCAGCCACAAACTGGCCTTTCTGAATTGTTGAATCAACAACAAAGTTATCAAGTTGAATTTGAATTTCTATGCTATTATGAAGATACGACCAAGGTGGATATATCCACCTTGCCTCCGTCTTATATTTATCCATATTTAGCCCCCGGGAGTTATCAGTTACCTAAATGATGTTATTTACAATTTACGGTAATCGGAAAAAAAATCTCCAGATTACGATGTTACTCACAACCTCATGCAACATGAACAAATATTTTATAAACATTAATTTATTAGTACCTACCTATAATTACCATTTACCACATTATTAATATTTAATCACAAATAATCACGTATATTATATTATAATTTATATTATTATTAAAAAAATTATATACATATTATAAATAATATTTTGTTTTAAATTACGATAATATTTTATGTGTAATTGTCACCGTATACACCATACATCACAATCGGCGTACGATTACAGACATACTAATTGACTGAAAATAATAATATAATAATATACCTAATTAATAAAATGTAGAGAATAATATTACTGTCGTTGTCTATAATTATTATTATATTTAATTATATTTATTTTTTAATACTGAAAATATAAAGTTTAAAATTTGATTTAATAAAACTAATTACTAATAACTTTTTTCAAAATATTATTTTTGGGAATTTCGTAACAAGAGTAATGACTATAATGACTAATGAGTATATTTCTTAATCATATAATTTTCACAATTTTTGTCATACTTTTAAGTAGCATCATTTTTTTACCTAATATAATTGTACCTAAAGGCTAAATTATTATTACTGTTATTATTATCTTGGAACAATGATGTTAATATTTTGTTTGTGAAATTACCATTTACCAATTTGGTTTGATTTGTTGTTCGACAACGACAACGACGATAATATTAACCGCTCCCGGTGGCCAAATATCCTATCTTAATAATAGACGGGGACAAAACGTCAGTGGGATCGCTTTTTTTACGGGGACGAAATGGCGGGGGTGAAACGTCAAACGTGAAACGTCTGCCCAAGGTGGATTGAAATCCACCTTGCGTCTGCCATTCGTTGTTATCACACCGGAGTATCATCAAAACATTACATTTATTTATATATCAGTTAGGTACATTGTTTTTCACATTGTATTATATAAGAGATACTCGCTTGAAATTTGCATACATAATATTAATATCATTATAATAATATCATAAGACATAAATCGTCACATATCACATAATATGTATGTATATAATATATTATTATCGTACTTTATGTATAAGCGTGATAAGGTCGAGGAAAAAAAAAAGTGAAACCATCACAACAATATATTGTGCGAACGGCAAATAAACAAGCTATCAGGTAACGATTAACGACGCATTCTGCATACGACATACGGACACACGGCGATGGGCGGTAAACGGCCTTCGAATCTTAATGCAGTTGTTTCTCAACACGTATTTTTCTGGTAAAAGAATTAAAAATAATAATTATTTGTATTCGGTCCGAAATGACGAATGAGTGCGTATCACCGCCATACATGCCTGTGGACACGTGAATCGAGCGCACGCGACTTGCAGTGTGTTGTTGAGCGAGAAAGACGATAGCAGTGTGTCAATCAAGACGTCATCGCCGTCGAGATGACTGAAAACGACAAGCGCCCGTCGATGGTCATCGGATACTGGATGTCTGACAGAAAGAGCCAGAAACTCAATTGGATCGAGTTTGGAAAAGTGTGCAGGTTAGATGAGTTGTTTTTAAGTACCCATAAGGTACTTAGTAGATTTATAGTATTTTGTTTTATTGGGATGCACCACTACCTACATCGGGGGCATTTTGGGAAAACATTTCGGCGCGGGAAAATCGTTGTGATCTCCCCAATATACACATTTTTTTGTTAGGTATTTCAAAAGTCGGAATTAATATTTTGCTCAAAACATTATTTATTTAAATTTTTTTTTTTTAAATTAGATTTTTGGCTTTGATGACAGGTCATTGCCTGTTTACTTAAATTGTTAGTTGGTAAACTGTATTATAATAAATTATTTAGGGGCTATTATAGTATATTTAATACCAAGCAAACAAATTGTATTTGTGCTTACTTATTGATAATAAGAAACTGAAGAAGCATATTTTGCTGAATGATAATAAATATAACTGTATAATATCCTTAATTGACCACAGCATTATTTTTTGCTTTGTGTTACGTACATTATTCATTATTTCCAATATTTTGGCATTTTCACAAATAATTTAAAATAAATAATAGTTTCAATACACAATATTGTATTTAATTTTTACTTTAAAAATAATATGTTCAAAAGAGTGCACAGATATTTTTGGCTGGATAGTCATAATAAAACATGTAATCAACTACCAATTCTGGAAATGCTGAGGTAGTAAAATTGTCTTAAGCAATTTCCATCTAATACATTTATTACATAAGATAACCTTATATAATTTATATAATAGGTAAACACTTATCACATATTATTATCACTGTCTAAAAAATTAATATTATTTAAAAATTTTGCAATAATTTATTAATAATTAATGATACTAACTAGTATACGGTGCATAGGTGCTACTTGCATCCAAAATCATAATAAGTAGCTTAGTAATTAAATAGATTACTATGTAGTATGTAGCAAGGTAGATAAGTATTCCACGTTAAAATTGTTATTGAATAATTTTGAATATTTTATATTTGTATGGTTATTTTATTATGTTTCATATTACCAAGTTCAATTTACACATTTAAGTGAAAATACATTTTATTACAGTTAATCATCTTAAGTTTTTATTATAATAGGTAGTCTATAAGATATTATGTTATACAGTCTATATAAAAAGTATCAAATAACTAAATGTAAAAATAAACAAGTAACACAAATAAGACAATTTAGTAGACACTTTCGTTGCAATAGATTAGTCGGATTACAGTGTATTTAAATTTTGTTACCTAGTCAGAATTTGCTTGTATTTTGTGACATTTGTTATCTTAGTATTAATATACCTATAGCTTTAACAGTGTACTCTATATCAAAGACAAAAGACCAGTTGTGCCGAACTTCTTAAACCGAATTTAAACTAAATTAAAATACAACTGCCACAAGTCTACATTTTACTTTGTGTAACAAAAAAATTGGAAAATCATTTTGTCACTTCCAAATGAAACTTTGACAATCTCGTTGATAACCCAATGCATAATCGTTAATTACTTATAATTTGATTTGTGTTATTTATGAAAACATGTACCTAAATATTGTCTTAACTATGTCTATATTATAAATTAATGTTAATTTATCTTTTATTTTTCATAACCTAATCATTTATATTCTTTTGTGAATTGCGAACAATAGTCATTCAACCCTTGATCATATATCATTACAAAAAATTAAAAGGAGATGGCCTGACATAAACACTATACGTCTATACGTAAAGCTCAGCACTCGTTAGCAACTTAGTTAGCACTTAATTTATAGGTCTATGTTGTATACATAGTTTTAAATTAACTTTTTTTTATAGTTATTAGTTATTACTATTTTCTCTATTAGTAGCAATTAGTTGCTCAAAAGTTGTACAAAATATTATATTACTTTATGATAATCTGTATTCATTATGTGTAGAATAACATATCAGTTACGTTGTAGAATAGATAATAATATGATAATGTTCCATATAAATACAGCAGTCTCAAAACTCTCAATAATAAAAATTCTTCCACTTAATTATTATTCATTTAAAAAAAACAATACTCCTCGGAAAAATGTTCAGTTTTAACAGCTCATTAATACATATTATATTATGTAATTTTAACACAGATAAATTAAAAGAGTTACCAGATTTTTTTTGTGAAATAGTAAGGGCCAGTTGTACTATCTCCATAGGTAAGATCCGACAAGTTTGTAATGCCTGCCACTCTCAAGACCTCCACTAAATATGACATAAGAGTGGATATAGCGGGGTTTGCCCTGATTATCCCCATTTCGGCTCCGGCCACCTGTATATACTATTGTGAGGCATCATGGGGTCTTGGTACTCTCTATACACTAACACTCGCTGAGGAAAGGGTACCATCCCCCGTGAGAGACCAATCTAAAGATGTAAGCACTTTGCTTCTAAATAAACGATGCTACATGAGAGTCAAGCAATGTGCAAACAGTACGGCCCTCATGTAGTGGTTACACATGGAAAAAAAAAATTGTACCATCTCCGATTAAAGTTAACCGGAGTATAATTGAAGTTTAACCATAGACGGTACAACTGGCCCTAAACCAGCAAACTTGTAAGTACAGGATATTTTTTTAAGTCAATAGATAACCTCCTTATTAAAAGTTAATCAATTAAAAACTTTAATAAAAAAATTAAATCTAAATACTTATATCTTTTTTAATAATACAGTGGATTCCGCTTAATGTGGCCACCGGTTAATACGGGCATCCGCTTATTGTGGGCAAACATGTCTGGTCCCAATACAAAATTTTGTTTTAACTAATTTTGGTTTTAATGGGCAAACAGGGCGGTTCCAACGTGCCCATATTAAGCGGAATCCACTGTTTTAAAATATATTTAAGTATTTACTCGGGTATTTATCTTAAGTACATAAATTAAAAAATTGTGTTTTGAGTATTTGAATATTTTTTTTGATAAACTGTGGCTAATTATAATTCATCAATGTTTTAATCAAAACAACAGTGAAATACATTTAAGTAACTGATGTATAAATATACATAAACATATTAAATTATTAAAGTTAATGTACCTACTGATTAATTTACTTTTAATGATAAATAAATCTAAGATATGTTTTAAATATTTTAATATTTTAATGTACATTATAAATAATGTAAATAAAGTTATTTAAATACCTACTGGAACAAAAATAATTAATTTAGTACCTATAAAAAGGTACCTACATTTGTTTACAGGCTTCAATATTTCAAAAAAGATTAAAGTACATACCTACATTTTTTTTTCATATTATATATATATATCCTTTTATTAAAGCGATTAATTAATGTATTTTAATTTTAAGATTAACAGATTTTTTAACTTAAAAATTATTTGAGAAATTACATACATATACATTATTTAATTATTAGATAAAAAAGACCGGACTGGACCACACCAGTGATATTAAAAAACTTATTAACCAAACCTAACCCATTAAAATATGACTGTGTCCCGACCCGAACACCTAGCCTTAACCATGAATATAAAAGCATTTTGACCAAACCCAACACGGATGCTGGTTTGGTCTGGGTCGACCCAGGACTGGGCTGATCTTTATGTTACATTATAGTTTAATATTTAAATATTAGATAGGTTACCTAACTGTTAAAAAACAACATAAATATTTGTATAGTTTAACAGATTTGTGTAAGTATATTTATTTAATGTATAAATTATTATATTATTATTATTATTTAATTTGAATAATGATAGTATGTCTAAACTTACTGCAAATCTCTTCATTTTTTTTAATAAACAAATTAAATTTATTTTATTTTAGTTAAATTAAATAATACCTATATATAGGTAATTAATTTCCATGTTAAATTATTATAACAATATATTTTATCTAAATTGTTAGGTAGGTTCCTATATTTTAATTAGTAATTAGTAATTTTGTTTATGAATTTAATAATATTTAAAAATTAAAATTTTGTAATCAATTATTAATAGTTAATATATTATTATTTTTTCAGGCAGCACGGATATGAATTAGTGAAAGTAAGTCATTTTATCATTTTTTTATTGTCACATAATAGAGATTAAAATAGCTGATCAGTTGTATGTCGTGTTGCATAAAAAATTAATTAATTGAATGGTTCAATACAATTTAATGGACCAATCTTGGGCCACTAAATCATGTTTAGGGACCATTATCTCACTATAGATTCAATAAATGTTTAATGATTGTTCATGCAACCCACCATTAGTGTTTTATTTACACAATGTATGTAACTTTAATGTACTAGGTGTACCTATTTCAATAATTTATTTTCTTTATTTAGTTATAGGGAAAGTGTTTGGAATTTTTGTTTAAGTTGAAACTAAAATGTTTATAACATATTTAGTTAGTTTTGCTTTGTGTTAAACAATATTCTATAGTTCTATATTTTAGTGCATTGTGTTGCTTGATATAGTTTAGTAATGATTTAGGTATTTGTTTTTGGAGATGTTAAAGCATAATTTAATTAATTAATATTTAAATTAAAAATGTTATATGAATCACATAATATGATACACTAAATAATTTATTGTGACTTATGTTATACTTGAAGTAATCTTAACGTACCTAGATAGTTAGTAACCAAAACCACAATAATTTATGTGAATATGAATATATTTTGACATCATAGAGTAATACATTAAGTATAAATTAACAAATATCAGTTTATAATAATTTGCATTTTGTGATAAAATATTCAAAATAACAATTAGTACTTTTTATTTAAAGTTTAAATCCAAGTATGATAGAAGATATATTTATATTGAACAATTTAGTATACAATTGAATGCCTTTCCTAAAGTAAATTAAGTGAGGAATTAAAAAAAAAATGGTTTCTTAAATCGTTCAATCATGACTTTCTAATATTAATAATAGTAGTAATAATAATAATATAATATATTATAATTTATTTAATTTTACAATTTTCCAACTATAACCATTTAAACATCAAAGATATTAAAATGTTTAATAATAGAATGTATTATTTTGTTTTTAAAGTTGGATCTGGACAAACCGTTAGAAAATCAAGGGCCATTTGCAGTAATTTTACATAAACTTACTGAAATAATTGCCAGAAATGATGAAAAGGTATGTTTGTATTTGTCTTATATTTTCATATTCTATAAAAAATTTTATTTCATTTTTAGGCAATTCAAATCATAGATAGAATTGAACGGTATATAAAGGATCATCCAAAAGTATTAATCATTGATCCATTAGATAGCGTTCGTACCCTGCTTGATCGCTACAAAACATATAATGTCGTGTTGAACACCACCTTGAACAATATTGGTACACCAATATACAATTATTATTGTAACTAGGTATTTTAAGTTGTCTAAATTATTTTGGTTCTCTCACACTAAATAGGACCTTGACCTGGGGCTTATATGGTATTGTAAAAAAATATAAAGAATATAAGTAGTAATGACATTTTAAGAGGTTTGTCTCATGGTATATTTAAGTGTTGGCACTTTACACAGCTAAAGTGGTACTTAATATAATTTAAAAGTATAGTTATATTAATATATAATTTTATGAAAGGTTGGATGCTACCTATTATTTTATTTTGCTTTGGAAATAGCTTTACACTGAAGTGTTCTTCACATTTATTATTTCCCAATACAATTACATTTGCCACTTGAGCATATGTTTGTGTAGGACATGGTTGACACTGTGTTGTAGTGCTGATTATATTGGAACAAGGGTGATTTAATATCTTTTAACTTTTTAGCTCTCTGTTTGATTAGTATTATACAAATTATAAAAACAAAATTATTATATATTTATTTTAATTTAAATAAACTTATATGAAATAGGAAATCGTAAGTTACCTATTGCATGTTGCATGAAAATTAAAGCTTGAATACTGCACTAAGGGGTAATCCAATTGAATACAGATGATTAAGTATATTTTTATTTTTATTTCATGTTGGCACTTGTACAATTGTCAATTTACTGATATTATATTTTGAGCCGATGTCTCATATTATGCAGATTTATTAGTGATAATTTAAAATGTTGCCAAAGCCATTTGGCTAATTGCCATTATGCTTTTATGTTTAGATCCAAATCTTATACTTTGACAATCCCACTAAAATTATCCATGGTTCTATAGAAATTAAAATTTTTTTTAAAAACCTTAGGTAATTAATAATTTAAATAGTAGGTAATTTTTCTATTAAACTGTTTAAGTTTTTGTGTACATTAGTTTTTTCACAGTAAAATCTTATAGCATTGTTATACTATTAATACTTTATGAGAAAGTATTTAATGTATTAAGTTAATCGTTGAAATATTATGTATATCATTAGGTTTATCAAAATAACTAAACACATGACTTAGGTGACATAAATAATAAATATGATTAAATAATTAACAATTTTCCTAATCAGTTAAAGTAAATATAAAACTATTCTTAATCAATTTATACAACGCTTATAAAAATATAAGTTATAATTAATACCTAATGTTTCCCAGTCAAGGCCCAATTTTTGTTAAACATTTTATTTTAGGTTAAACAATTTAAAACATAAATATACATTTTTTTTAGTACTTTGTAAGCATTTTTTTTATTAAATTGTAATTATTCTTGTTTATTTTATGTTAGATGTTTTTACACCTACATTTGTGGAAATTCTGTCAACCAATGTGAAAGATAATATTAAAAAACTAAAAAATGCTGGAGTTACGTTTCCATTCAGTAAGTTATAAGTTATTATATTAAGTAATGTCTGAAAAAATTAGACTAATGCCTTGCTAATTTTAGTTTGTAAGCCGTTTGTAGCTCAAGGAACAACTTATTGTCACCAGGTAAACCTCCAAATGGAAAATAGAAACAGTCAAGCTTGGACAAATTCATAATTATATTATAATAGTGTATAACTTATTTTTTAGATGTCTGTAATTTTTAATGAACGAGGTGTAGCTGATTGTAAGCCCCCATGCGTCGCTCAATCATTCATTAATCACAATGCAATTTTGTACAAATTGTATGTGGTTGGAGATCATTATCAAATGGTTGAGAGACCATCATTGAAAAATTTTTATGCCTCAAATGGTAGAGCGTTTGTTTGAAACCGGTCTCTAATTTTGACTTAAATTATTTATTGTTTTCTAGATGACCGAGACACAATTACTTTTGACAGTCACTCTGTGTCTAAATCAGATTCAAGTAGCGAACTTAGTGTACTCGACCCTTCGGAAAGCGCCAAAGGATCTTCCATAGATCCAATCAAATTGCATTCTATTGTCAAAACTCTAGGCAGTTATCTAAACATGTCTTTATATGGTGTTGATGTTGTTGTTGAAAATGATACCAATCGGCATGCGATTATCGATATTAATGCCTATCCTGGTAAAAGTGTTATTATTGATAGTTTTTAAAATATTAATAAAAACTAATGGTATATTCCCATAGGTTATGATGGATTTCCAGACTTTTTTGGAAAACTTATAGACTGTGTGATGTCACGACGTGCTCAATCGGTATGCTCCAAAGCATATTTTGAAGACTCTGGATTTGATACTAGTGATTCAAGCGATGAAAAAAAATCTCGTGCCAAGCTAAATTCAATTAATCAATATAATTAAAACTGATCAATTAATCTTTGCCTAAAAATTGTATACTTGTTTTTTATGTATACATTTTTATATTTTGTCAATCTGATTTTTTTAATCTATTTGATAAGTTAAATATATTGTTAATACTTATATGCAATGTGCTAGTTTTCTAAGTGTTTTTAAATTATTGATTTACAATCTGAACTGTTCATGTTGCAGAACACCAAGATTATAAGAATCACACTAAAAAATAATTGATAAAAAAAATAATATTTTTATACGTATATATTTATAATAAAATAATACAAATTAAGTATGTTTTCCAGTTGATATATATTTTTCAATCAATTTGCTGATAAGATGTGTTTACTCTATGAGTAATATTATCGCTTGTTGACTTTTGCAAGGTATTTTCACAATTTATCATTAATTTTCCCTTTCTTCATTTGTTGATATTGGTGTTGCAATATGTTGTCAATTTGACTTTGATTATATACTATAATTATATTAATCACTTGTTAAAATTCTTATCCGTAAATGTCAATTAATTATTGTTTAAAATTAAAATTTGAATTTACTATGTAATAACTAATAATTAAGGCAATTTAATAGATACATACATCAGTATGATGTTTGTGCGAGATTTAATTCTTGACATTGTCGAATTATTTTTGAAGAATTGAATTGAAGTAAATAAATATATACCCATAATATAATATATATATTTATTATATTTAATGCTTAAAATCTTAATAGTGTATTCACTATTCATAAATATCCTGAATTGTTTATTTATGTATTGTTGCACAAATAAAACGTTAAAGGTCTGCATTTAGGTTAGTTATTTTTTCCTTTTTCTATATTCTTCGATTCAATAATCAATATTATATTTGCTATATTGCTCATGCACATGGCAGGTTTCACACCATTCACAACTTACTTATCGAGAATTGATATGAAAAAAGTTATTGGGGTCTTATTGAATTATGGTCTGTATCTATATGAGTGTAACATGTTAATATTATGACAATTAACTATAGCTTATTACCTTACTATTGTTAAAAGCACGGTCTTATAAAATATATTCTAAGACAGTGGTTCAAAGTATAACATCTGACTAGAATTTATAAATTTACGCAAGTCTTTGAATCAATTTTGCTTTACTAAAGGGTTATTTTATAATATTGGCCAGAAAAAATAGTACCTATGTGGATAAATGTACACATATAATGGTTTATTAATAGACTAACGCAGGGAAGGATTATGACTTAAGGCCCTTTAGGTTGCCTAGCTTCTACACTTTTCAATATGATATACAAACATCCAACATATATTAATTATGGATATTGAAAACATGAAGCACAGTATGGCATATGCAGATGAAAATGACCTCCCGACTGCTATAGGCTTATAGCCTATAGATATGTACTAATAGGTGCCTAAAATCTGACGTATTTTACAGTGCTGTTAGGAAGATTAATATGTATAAGATTATATTGATTTATAAAAAAATACAGACTGGACAGTTACAATTACAAATATGTACTTACGCCTAAAAAGTATAATAAGAAAGGTGGACAAGTGGGTGTCGATCTGTTGTACAGTAGATTACAAGTGGGTGACTGTAATGGATGGTGTTAATTTGAAAACAATGATATAATAACATTGTATACGAAAAACGATTCTGAGCGAAGATGGTCAGTCAGCCTATGATATATTATTACTAAATATATTTAATGATATTGTTGTGAATGAAGTAATTTATACTATAACTATTTACGTGAAACCTTGTTTTAAATGTTCAATCCTTAGCTATAAAAGTTGAACATATACATTTTTAATTTCAGTCATTTTTAAATTTTAAATTTGATACATTTTGTCAAAATTCAAACTTTAAATGCTTATAACAAAAATGGGACTATTTATTTTTATATTTTTCACCTCCATTGTAACATTATATTAGAAGTCTTGTATTAACTTATCAAGCTTTTTGACCCAAGTCCCAAGGAATAAACTATACATTTTATTGACATCCATAGAAAAAATAACTAAAATAATTGGAAAACATAAAATAAAATGATTCTGCATTTTGTCTATATTGCGTGTGAACCAAAGAGTGGAAACCAAACAGTGTGCTGATATCCTCTTAAGTTGTAATAGTTGTAAGTCCTAAAAAGGAATTAAATCTTGTATAATATATGTCCGAGTTATTAGTAGGTAGCTTTTTCGATGTCAACGAAAAAAAGTGGCAAGAGTGTTTTATCCGAAAAGCCCTTTGTGGATGTCTTCATGTGAAGTGGTTGGGTGGAAATTTCGAATGACTACCTGTAACGGGCGAATAGCACGTGGCTGGTAACTGGTAAGTATAAAAACTGACGTCATTCTCCTCTAAATGCGTTAATAACAGATTGTACTGTTCACGGAAATGCGTGCGGACGATAAGATAGGAGGGCGTGGACTTCAAATAAAATCTGTAGAGTCAAGTCATCAGTCTAGAGATGAAGATGGAGATATTGCCCACATTTTTAATGTAAACAGTCAGTAACTTTGTTGTGTCATCGGTATTGCGAATTTGGACGTTGATTGTAGGTGTGTTCACGTCGACGTTGTAGCGCTTAGTGAGACCAGAGAACCAATTTGTAATTGCGAATAATTTAGTTTTCTTTTCGATATATATTTTTATATTTTTGATACCATATTTGTTAGGTTGGGACATATAATCAGTAATAAGTAAGTTCCAAGTAAACTACATTAACTGTCCATACAAAAATAAAAAAATATCCTAAATACATATCACAATTTATTTGTTTAGTTGTTTTTAACTCCAAATGTTGACAAAATACGATAGGTATTTAAAATAACGATACTTCTTCTAACGATTTTATTTCTTGTTGTAGATCAAAACGAACTTTTTCGCAGAAACTAGAAACTTTTTGCAATATTATGTATATTATTATTACTATTCAGAATAATTTTTTCAAAATATTTATTCCAGTTTTAAGCTATTTATACCACGGTATTATTCATACTGTTGTAAAGTACGTCGGTATTGAGTTATCAGTTATAATAGGTAACAACTAACAATAAATAAATATTAATTATTATATACAATTTAATATTATAATAAATAATAACATAAGTACATTTTCGGTTATAATAAAATTATAAATAGAGACAGACACACAGGACAGTGACTTCATTTGGCCTGTCCAGACCAACAAAAATTTAATTATAAATTTATTTTTAAAAATATTAATAATATTAACAGCATTAATCTTCATTATAAATTCATTATTTATATGATTTATAAAATTAATTTATTCATAATGAACTTAACAAAAGTATTTAATATTCAAATTTTTTAGATAACTATATTTTGCATGTAATATATTATGTGAGTCCATAATCCATATGTAATAAATTTAACAAGGCTTTATTCCCGGATAGTCTATATATATATATACATATACGTATATGATTTTAGTTCTGGGTGTGCAGAAAATGTATATAAACACCGTGGTAAAAAAAAAAATTTGGTTGTTTAAAACCGTTATTATTCTGATTTAATTCGGGTAAAGTATAGGTACTGTACTACTGAGGACAAAAAAATTATAAACGATGATAGGTACCATTCAACTGAAAAGTATACAGACTTAGACTAGTGTGACTATTATACAGTAGGTATTACTAAATTATGAATGGAAACATATTTAAAAAATAACAGTTTATTATTATTTGTATAAAACAATAATTAAAGTAAGTATCACCAACAAAGTAAACTCGTTTAAGAGTTATAATTAGGGGTCAGAATTATATTCTTTGAAAATAGCCAAAATAAGATGCTAATATTCTCTTGTAAAGTTGAAAATATTCTTCCAATATTCTTTAAAAGTCATAATAAAATATGCAAAAAATATGTTTATTAAAATATTCTCTTGAACTAAAAATATGGATTTATATGCAAATTAATTAAGAAAAAAATACAAACTGATATAAATAAATACATATGCAAAATAATACAAAAACCTGATATAAATAGTTAGCCACATAATAAACAATACTACATGTTAAGAAAAGTTTGATTAAATTATTAATAATAATATTGAATATTCTATTATTTTAAATTTTTTACTAAGAACATTTTTTTATAGTTGACAACTATATTTTGTTCCATGTGCTCTGGTGTCATATTTGTACAACGGTCGGTGAAAATATTCTTATATGTCATAATTTATATTATTTAAGCCACTGCAACAAAAAATATCGAACATCCAACAAAAACTAATCGATATAGGTATTCGCTAATATTCTTTATTATACGAAATATTCCCAAATATGCAAAAAAAACTTTTGTCATTAACTCACCTGTTTCATGATTTGTGAAGATTTCGAACCCCCGTCTGACTGCATAGACTAAAAAAAATATGCAAAAGAATATAATTCCGGCCCCTAGTTATAATATTTAGCAAATAATGGATAATTTAGGTAGGTAGGTAGGTAAGAATTAAATAATTACATTTTTAAGTAAAGAAAAACATTTGAATAGGTAAGTGATAAATGATAATGTTACACTCGAAATTTAAATAACTACTCCATGTAACTAAGTAACATAATTAGGAACTAGTGTTGAATATTTTTTTTTTTATTATTTTTTTTTTTTGGGTGGTGGGGGGGGGGTAATGTTATAAAATAAAATAGAATCATTGTAAACATTTTGGATCTCGATATTTAATTCAAATAATGATAGGTACATCCGAGAAATAATTCTTCATAATTTTAAAATATTTGATTAAAATAATGGACCTACTACCTATATCATATAACTCAGGTTTTATTGCTAGTTAAATTCTTTATCTGTAGGTTCTAAAATTTAGTTAACTAATATTTTATTCGAGTTATGAATAATTAGAACGTTACGTAATAACCTCATGTCTTAATGCTTAGGTTTCGGACGGCCCTGAATCCACCCTCAAAGTTGAGATCAAAGTTCTACTATAAAAAAGCATCCTCGGACACAAAACAAAAAATAA